AGACAGACAGACAGACAGACAGACACAGGTGGGTGCATAGTTCTTTAAAGAGATAAACACCAATAAAGCAAACCCTCTTGGTCTGCACTGGGACAATAGGAAGAGTGTCCAGAAGGCAAGACCCAACCCATCAAAGACGCCAACTTGTAAAATGAAAATTCAGTTGAAAGGCTGAACAGAGACTGCCACTGAAGGGATCCCCTGCTCATAAGCAACTGCCAGGACACCTCATGCATACTGGCTTCTGAAGTCAGAAGCCACAAACACCCACCCCAGGTACCCAGCACCTCACTCTCCATATACACTGCAAACCCTGGGTCCTGAGGTCCAAAGCCCTGTGAATCCCCACCCTAAGGACTGGATCCATAGAGGGGATCTGTGCATCTGCTTTCTGAGGCCACAGACTGTGCAAAACCCTACACTCAGCATCCAGTGCCCACACACCATGGGAACTCCAACTCCTGAGGTCAGAGGTCATAGCAACTCTGCCTCCCCACTCCCTTGCACCTGCACACCCTGCAGGTTCTGACTGCTACCATCAATAACCCACACTCGGCACCCCGTGTCCATGTACCACATGGACCCGGGTCCCTCAGGTCAAAGGCCACATGAATCTCCAGTATAGCTGGCCTGCTGGCTAAAAAACACTGTATTCCACTCTTTGGCTGTCAAGCTTTTGAAAGGATAGGATCCCAAGAAATTAGAATCTCACTAGAAGAAATGGCTGAAGTCCTGGGGCAGCCAGAGGATTGTCTGCTTGAGGAGGAACTTAGCTCTGAACAGAAAAGATAAGGAGACAGTGGTGGGTAGGGACCACACCTTGGCCAGACTGCTTAGGTATACCCAGCTCAAGCTTTCTATTTAACCCTATCCTTATGTCATCAACCCCGCCCCCAAGACAGAGACTGGGGTGGGTGGGGTACTGAATCTCTTTGTCCCTCTTTCACAATGTGGCCACATTGAATAAATTTTCTTTCTCTACTTTACACTATTAATTTAACTGTTTTATTGGCTTATTGAGAACAGGTGGAGGAACCTGGCTTGTTGGGGCACAAGCTAAGTCTGGTAACACCAGTACTCTGAGGCCTGCAAACTCCTAAGGTCAGAGGGCACTGTTGCAGACTATTACTTTAACTATGTAAAGGTTTGTTACATTTGTTTATGCTGCATTTGTTTAAATACTAAAGACGTGTTGCTATTTCACCTTGCCTGCCTAAGGCACCTGATTGATCTACTAAAAAGCTGAACAGCCAATAACTAGGCAGTAGAGGGATAGGTGGGACTGGCAGGCAGAGAGAATAAGAGGAAAATCTAGGTTTGAGGAACGAGAGAGAAGGGAGAATGAGAGAGAAATGAGATGCCCGGGGCCAGCCAGTCAGACACGGAGGACACAGGAAAGTAAGACATACAGAAGGAAAGAAAGGTAAAAAGCCCAGAGACAAAAAATAAATGAAGAGAAATAGATTAAACAAGAGCTAAAGTAAGCCAAGTATTCATAACTAATAAGTCTCAGTGTCATGATTTTTGGGAGCTGGCTGGTGGCTCAAAAGAAAGCGTGCTATAGGGCACATGAAATCTTGCTCCTACCCATAATACCCTGTATGGTGATTTGAATAGGAATGGTCCCCATAGACTCATGTGTTGAATGCTTGGTCCATAGGGAGTGGCACTATTAGGAAGAGTGGCTTTGTTGGAGTAGGTGTGGCCTTGCTGGAGAAAGCATGTCACTGTGGGGGTGGGCTTTGAGGTCCCCTATGCTCAATCTACTGTCAGTGTGGCACACAGTTGCTTCTGCTGCCTGCAGATCCAGATGTAGAACTCTCAGCTGCTTCTCCAGCACCATGTCTGCCTGCACACTGCCATGTTTCTCACCAGGATGATAATGGACTAACCCTCTGAAACTGTAAACCAGCCCCAATTAAATGCTTTCCTTTATAAAAGTTTCTGTGGCCATGGTGTCTCTTCACTGTAAAAGAAACCCTAATTAAAACACCCTGACTGGCAGAAATATTGAGTTGGGGGAAGAATAGAAGAGAGAGAGCAGGATGAGAGATGCCATATCAGAGGGAGCCACTATAGGTCCGAGAAGAGATCTGGAACCAGGGAGATCTCCAGAGACCTACAAGGATGACACGATCTGACAATCCAAGCAATGGTGGAGAGGATAACCTAAAAGCCCTTCCCCTAAAATGAGATTGATGACTTCTCTTTATGCCATCCTAGACCTCATCCAGTGGCTGATGGAAGAGGAGACAGACATCCACAGATATACGCCAGGGAGCCTCTGGTAGTGGATTAGTATTTTTTCCTGGTGTAAGAAGGGACTTTGAGAGCTCATCCCACATGAAATCGTACACTCTGGCCCTGGACAAATGGGTTAGGTCTGAGGTCCAGCACAAGAAGATTTGGTGGACTTTGCAGAGCCCCCGTTGAGGGCTCTACCCTGCCTGGGAAGTAGTGGGTGGATGGGGTGGGGGTGGGCTGGAGGTGGGGAAGGAGAGATGGGGGTGAGGGGAGGGAGAGGGAGAAGGGACTTACATGTGAAACAAGCTTGTTCCCTAACTAGAACTAATAAATAAATTAAAAAAATAAAAATAAAATAAAAAATAAAACACCCTGACTGCACAAACCATGGCTCCCAAGGTCAAAAGCTGAAAGAAACCCTGCTCCTGCCATCTGTGATAACCTGGCACCTTCACACTGTGCAGACCCAGACTCCTGATCAGGGCCATGTGAAGCCATGGCACCCAGGACCCAGCTCACTAGCACACATGTATCCTAGGGTCAGAAACTGCATGAAATTTTGCCTCCTAAGCCAGCACCCATGCACTGTGTAGATCCTAGATCCTGGGGTCAGAAGCCAACCACACACACACACACACACACCACACACACACACACACACACACACACACACACACACAGAGCACAAAATCTCTTGCAAAGTAGGAAGTCATTCTCCCTATGGCCAAGAAAGAGTCACCTCAGCTAAACCACCCACAAATTAGTACTAAGTCTCACCATGACTAAACTTCAAGCTGTACCTAACTGAGCCAAGACCTGCTTGCTAACCAGAAGGAATGCTATAGTGTCTGCACCAGTCCAAATACTCAATCCATGTGTGCCAGCTTCAGTCAACGAAATGACTACTAAAGTGGAAGTCCAACACAAAGACACAATCAAGACATGAAAAACCAAGACAGCATGTCCGCACCAAAATTACCAACTAAATTATTGTGGAATATTAACTAGTAAAGATGTGTTGCGATGGGCATTGGTGGCACATGCCTTTAATCCCAGCACTCGGGAGGCAGAGGCAGGCAGATCTCTGTGAGTTCGAGGCCAGCCTGGTCTCCAGAGCGAGTGCCAGGATAGGCTCCAAAGCTACACAGAGAAACCCTGTCTCAAAAAAACAAAAAAGAAAAAGGATGTGTTGCATTTGTTTGTGCTGCATTTGTTTAATTATGAAAAGATGTATTGCTGTTCACCTTGCCTGCCTAAGGCACCTGATTGGTCTAATAAAAAGCTGAATGGCCAATAGGTAGGCAGTATGGGGATAGGTGGGGCTGGAGGGCAGAGGAAATTAAGTAGGAGGAGAAATCTAGGCTCAAGAGAGAAGGAGGAGGAGAGAACAAGAGAGAACCTGGGGCCAGAAGGCAGAGAGCTATCAGCTAGCCAAACATGAGAAGCAGTGAAAGTAAGATGTACAGAAGAAAAGAAAGATAAAAAGCCCTGAGGCAAAGCATAGATGAAGAGAAACAGGTTAAGAGCAAATGGAACAAGCATAAACAAGATAAGACTGAGCATTCGTAACTAATAAGAAGTCTTCATGTCAGTATTTGGGAATTGGTTGGTGGCACAAAAGAAAAGGCTTGCTACACTAAATGGTCTCCAGAGAGAGTGCCAGGATAGGCTCCAAAGCTACACAGAGAAACCCTGTCTTGGAAAAACAAAAAACAAAACAAGACAAAAAATAATAATAATTGCCTTGGTCACAATGTCTCTTCGCAGCAATAGAACACTGACTATTACAGCGCCCCTCCTCTTAAGTATGAGACCCACTGTTAGTTTTTGTTTTGTCATTTAAGACAGTCTCCCAAGTGTTAGGATCGCTTGCATAGGCCACTACACCCGGCTGAGCTGCAGTTTTCTTTTAAACTTACTTCCAAGGAATAGAAAACGGCAGAGGGATTGAGATGTTAATTCTGAAACACCCTGAAAACAATTCTCAGCCCTGCCTCCCTCCCCTCTTCAAGTCTCTGCCCAAAATGACCTACCTCTGAGAGCCTCTGGGAACTGCTGGGGTGGCCTCATCAGGTTGGAGTCAAACAGGAAGCACAGTCCTTTCGCATACGTGTTCTCCTTGCAGTTTTGGTGCACAGTGGGGCCGCAGGCCTGAGAGGCAAAGTGCCAGTAAAGGGGCTGCCCCTGCCTCCTGTCCTACAATAGTGGGACCTCCACCCTCCACAATACCTCCACCCAGCATCCCCAGGTCTCCCACCTCTCCCCTCAAAACCTTCTTCTGATCCTGAGCAACTCACCAGCAGCTGGGTTGGGTTTGTAGTAGCAGCCAGGGAGAGACCCAAGGACATGTTCACAGCCTCTGGGGGTACTGAGAAGACAAGACTCATGCACAGTCATCCTCAGGGTTAAGAGGAGTTGTGAAATGTTGTGAGATATTTGTACACTGTGTAAAGATGGATTGTAATAGAAAACTGAATGGCCAATAGCTAGGCAGGAGGTATAGGCGGGACTTCTGGGCAGAGAGCACTCTGGGAAGAAGAAAGGTGGAGTTGCCAGAGAGACACTGAGAGGAAACAGGAAGTACAAGGTGGAAGAGAGTAAGGCCATGTGGCAGAACGTAGATTAATATACATGAGTTAATTTAAGTTATAAGAGCTAGTTAGGAACAAGCCTAAGCTATTGGCCAAGCTTTCACAAGTAATAATAAGTTTCCATGTCATTACTTGTGAGCTGGTGGCAGATGAAAACACTCTCTACAGTGAAACAGTGGGCAAGGACATGATGGATGCACATACCTGTGCTCACTGTCTTACTCGCAGTAGACAAGCCGAGAAGCCAGTCAATAGATGACTGGATAAAGAAAATGCAGTCTACACAATGGTGTCTTACCCAGTCACAAAGAAGAACACAATTACTTCATTTGCATAGAGGCCTATAGAATTAAGTAAAATAAGATTTAAACTGTGGGAAACTATTTGCAGCATATGCAGCAGGAAGAAGCAGGAAGATTAAAGAGGGCGAAAGGATGGAAATATATTATACACATGTATAAAAATGTCAGCCAGGCATGCTGAGGAACACCTTTAATCCCAGGAGCTGGGAAGCAGAGGCAGAACATTTGAGGCCAACCTGTCTACATAGCAAATTCCAGGCCAGCCATGGCTACACAGTGAGACTTGGTCTCAAAAATAAAAAATAAAGGATAGAAAAGAAACTGTCATAATGAAACCCAGTTTCGGGAACGGGATGTGACCCTGTTGGTAGAGTATGGCCTAGCATTCACAAATCATAAGGCCATGTGTGGTGATGCCAGCACATGAAGGTGAAGCTGGAGGATCAGAAGTTTAAGGCCAATGACAACTACATAGCAAGTTTGAGGCCAACTTGGGTACAAGAGACCTTGCAGAGAGGTTGCTGGGGGAGGGGGGTAGAGGGAGAGAGGAACAGGGAAAGGGAGATAAAATCCTCTCATGTGATAGAACATATACCAATTATGTCTATCTGGTAACAGGAGAGATGGCTCAGTCAGTAAAGTCACTGTGACCTTTGAAAGATTTTAGTTTGCTGAGAGAAAAAGTTTTGAAAGATTTTAGTTCACAGAGAGAAAAAGTTTCCCACAGGCCTTGGCCCATTACAAGGGGGTTGGCCCCAACCCCGGGCACATCCTATGGTTTAGACGAGGGCAGCCACCAAGACAACCCTCTTTGGGTCACACCTGGCTGGCCAACAGACAATCAAGGACTTTTCAGGGTACGTTCTGTGGTTTTTTCTGTGTAGAAAAGCAGGTCACACCTGGGTGACCACTCTAACATGAGATCATACTTTGTAATCAATCACTTTGTGCCCCTTGCCTGTATGCTGATCTGCGGTTTTTTTCCTATATAAGGAGCATGCCCCCCCAAGCTGGGGTGTGCAGCTTTCCCAATATTGCTGACACCCGAATGCACATTCGTTCAATAAACTGTCTTGCTTTTGCAGCTCTTGGTCTGGTTTCTGAGTCTTGGGGGCTCCTCGAGATCCTGAGGCCCTTAGGGGTCTGGGGTTCTTTCACCTTGAAAGCTTGAGGCCCTGAGTTTGGGTCCCCAAAGGCCACATAATAACCCCAGTGCTAGAGGGGCAGAGGCAGAAGCAGCCTCAAAATTCATTGGCCAGATGGCTCAGCAGTTAAAGGCACTGTCTGCTCTTCTAGAAGCTGGGTTTGGTTCCCAGCACCTACATAGCAGCTCATATTGTCTGTAACTCTGTCTGACACTCCTTTGACCTCCCTGGGCACTAGACATACATATGGTACATATACATACATGGAGGCAAATACTCATGCACATAACATAAAATTTAGAGAGGGGGGGGAGAGAGATTCATTGCCCAGACAACTTAGGCAAACCAATGAGTTCTTGGCTCAAAATGAACAAGGTGGAGTGCAACCAAGAATGACACCTGGTGTTGATTATGGCCTCCGCAGGTGCCACACAGAGCACATGCTCCTGCAGGCACGTGTCCATGCAGCACACACACATACAACATATTTAAATATTAATTATTCTAGCAAAAGAGCTGCAAAGAGTCACTTCAGCCTGGAGACACGGGATAGACTATGAAAAAGGACCATAGTGGGGTCGCCTGAGGGATCCATGGACAAGGGGGAGGCTGGGAAGCCAAGTGCTCTCTGCCCCACCAGAAATGCACAGGATACAAGAAGGCCTGACGAAGCAGCTGTGTTCACAGGAAAACTCCCATCAGAGCCAGAGGGAGAGCTGAAACTCACCTTTCAGGGAAATGGGCTCACACCTGCTTGTGCTGTAGTCACACTGGTAGAGGCCACCTGTCTGGTTAACACCCTTTGCCTCCTGGGGGGCTGCAACAACCACTCTGTAGAAAGGGGGTGATAAAAAAAAACACCCTGAATATATAGAAGCAGTCCTACCCTTCAGAGGTAAGTAAGCTTCCTGAACTCCCATAAACAGGAAGAAAAATTAGCAATGAAAAAAATTTAAACCCTAGAGCAGGAAGGCCCCTCCTAAGAATGACACAAAATGCTGAGAGAATTTTTTTAAATGGATTTAAAAAGAAAGAGCAAATGAAGTTAGAATGGGAAGGGGTAGGGTGATAGGGGAGAATGAGAGGCAGGGGTGGAGAGGGAGGTTGGCTCAAAGCACATTACATACACATAAGAAATTCTCAAACAATAAAAAAGTGGATTTCAACCACATAACCATTTAAGTAAATGTACAAGTATGACAAGCAATTACAAGCAAATCAAAAGACAAATGAAACCTGGGAAAGGGAGACTGGTAGCTTACACCCCAGGTTGCCTTCCTGTGGTCTGTCAGTTTCTACAAACCAGGAAGGGGAAGAGTAGAAAAGGGGGAAGATAAAGAAAAAAAGCATCAACAGAAGAGGAAATTGCTGTGGAACAGGTGCTCTGGGCCCAGAACGGCCACGGCCATCTTGAGCTCCCAGCAGCTGTTATGATCCACAAGAGACCCAAAGGAGACTGACCCATCAGCGGTCCATCTTGAGGGGACGAGGCTGTCGATGGTTGGCTGGGAGAGAGATTCTTTTGTAAGTTGCTCCTGCTTCTGTGGGTAACCCTTATTTATCCATGCTATGGAAGCAACCCCAGGTAGAGTCATTGGCTCACAGAGCTAGACCTGGATGGAATCATTCTTTAGTCTGTTGTCGATGCCCCATCTGCTGTGAACGTGTATTTGTTCACATCTCTCCAGAAAAAGTCACACAGCAGAAATCCCTCTCTTCAAGGAGAAAACCAGGTGGTGAAACGGTTCCGGTGGGTAAAGGAGCTTGCCGCACAAGCATGATGACCTGAGTTCTATCCCTGGGATCCATGAAGGAGAGAACTGACTCTCAAAGGTTGTCCTCTGACTACCACGTATGTGTCATCACACACACACACACACACACACACACTGTACATGTATAGACTATTAGATCACAGGCATGTGTCTGATCAATCTAGGAGGCCAGATCTCACAGCTTAAATAATTCAGGCCGCATTCCTGGTACAGAAGGAGAATGCCTGTGGTCTTACAACTAATTTACATCCTACCCAGTGCCTGGCACCCCATTCTGCTCATCACATATACAGCCCTCACTAAATCATGTAGTGCAGAACTTCCGAAAGTCTCCTGAAAAGATAGAAAAGTCAAGCATTTTTCTTTGGGTCCTGGGATTTCTCACAGCTCTCCTATGGGCCTCTGCCATCATCCCATCATCCTGTCATGACAGATATCTATCACTCTTTTACTTTAAGCTCTCTCTCTCTCTCTCTCTCTCTCTCTCTCTCTCTCTCTGTCTGTCTGTCTGTCTGTCTCTGGTAATTTTTTTTTTTTTGAGACAGGGTCTCACTGTGTCACTCTGGCTGTCCTGGAACTCACGTAGACCAGACTGGCTTCAAACTCACACAGATCTCCCTGCCTCCGCATCCTAAGTACTGGGATTAAAGGTGTGCACCACCACACCAAGATTCAATTGTTTTTTTAATTATATGTGTGTTTGTATCTCTATGTGGGTTTGTATGCATATGAGTTTAGTGTTCTTGGAGGTTGGAGGCACCTGATCTCCCTGGCCATGGTAATAGTCATCTTTAAAAAAAAAATAAGGGAGTAGAGAGATGGCTCAGGGGTTAAGAGCACTGCTGCTCTTCCATAGGACCTGGGTTCAATTCCCAGCACCCACATGGCAGAGGATAATGGATCAGGAAGGGCTAAGAAAGGAGTAAGTATGAGGAGGAATAACTAACAATAAAAAGCTTTAGAAAAAAACAAACAAACAAAAAACACTGGTGGCGCATGCCTTTAACCCAGCTCTCAGGAGGCCAGCCTAGTCTACAGAGAGAGTTCTAGGACATTCCAGGCAATGCAGAGAAACCCTGTCTTGTAAAACAAAACAAAACAAGCATGGAAGTATGGAAACCAACTACTCTAGACAATTCCTAAAATATATATATTGTATGTATGTGTACACATAAACACACACATATATATTATATTTTTGTGTGTATGCAACTCACATGCATATACCCATACACAGAGATACACACACATTTAATTTTTTAAATTTAATTTGTAAATGAAATTTATAAGGAATTATCCTATAATGAGAGAGGCAATTCCTCTCCCAGACACCGAGTGCTATCAAAAAGCCCAGTTAGCATCTGTGACTCCAATTCCAGGTGATCTGCTGCCCTCTTCTGGCCTCGCAGAAACTCTTACAGTTAAATTTTCTTTTTTTAAAATCTTTTTTTGAGGAAAAATATTTTTTTTTAATGTTTATCATCCCTATCCATCAGGGAAATGCAAATTAAAACTACTTTGAGATTTCATCTTACCCTAGTCAGAATGACTAAGATTTTTTTAAAAATTACAACAACAAAGGCTGACATAAGGAAATCACCTTTGGTGGGGGTGTGAACTGGTACAGTCACTGTGGAAATTATTGTGGAGGCTCCTCAAAAACATGGAAATTGGCCTACCACAAGATCCAGCTATACCATGTCCGGGCATAGACTCACTCACACGGCTCGTCCATGCTCACTGCTGCTGTATTCACAACAGACAGGAAACACAAACAGCCAAGGTGTTCCTCACTAATGGATAATGAAAATGTGGCACACAGACATAACGTGCTGTGAAGAAAAATGACATTATCAGGGATTGGATGGAGCTAGAAATAATCATTCTGAGTGATGTCACCCTGACCCAAAAAGACAAACGCCACATATCCTCGCTTATATGTGAGCACTGCCTTTGAATCTTTGTATATGTGTGTTAAACTGGAGTACCCATAGAAGTCAGGGAAATAATAGTGGATCACGGCGGTGGGGGGCGGGATTTAAGGGAGAGGGCATAGAACAAAGCTGGTTTGAAGGGGAAAAGGAGGATAACAGAGCAGGAGGGCTAAGAGAGGAATCAACCAATAATAAAGCCCTTAAAAAAAAAAAAAAAACAGTATGGATTCATACAACAAGGACATCTGTTCAACCATGTTCATAGCAGCACTATCTGTAATAGCCAGAAACTGGAAGCAGCCTAGATGCCCCTCAACTGAAGAATGGATAGAGAAAATGTGATACATTTACACAATGGAGAACTACTCAGCAGAAAAAAAACAATGGAATCTTGAAATTTGCAGGAAAATGGATGGAACTCGAAGAAACCATTCTGAGCGAGATAACCCAGTCACAAAAAGACAAACATGAAATGT